CTCTTGTTTTAACAAGAAAACAGTCAGTAAAAACGTATATTAATAGCTAATACGAGTAACTGTTTACAAATTAATTAATTTGTTAATGATTTGAACTGAGCTTTGATAGTTTCCATATCAAGAAGTATAATGGGACAATAAAATATTTGAGGGATATCTGGAGAAATTAAAGTCAGATTTTTGCGAATCTCTCTCAAGAAAAGAACCAGACATGAGGTTGCGAGGCGTGAATGGGACTTCCTGCAGGAAAATCGGGAAGCCGTTTTGACATTCAAAAGCGGTTTGCCGCGGTCGCTCCGGCCCGGCGAACGATTTGAATAACAAAGTCCCCGTGAAGACGTACTATCGTCCTTATTCGCGTCACCGAACAGTCTTCGGGCCAGTTTATCGTGAAAATCGTTTGAATACCAAGCGAAATCGATCCCCAGTCGGCCCTTTGAAATTTCCATCGTCATCGACATCCGTCGTCCGCTTTGATTCAAGACAAAAATGATTCTCTAATAGCATATATTTTACTAATAACATATATATTTTGTGTTATCTGTTGTTCTCAATTATCTGACGTTTCAGTCTTGTCATGTTTGCTACTGTTTACGAAACTACATTATTGAACGTATGTATGAGTGGTAGAGTCACATAAAATGGGTGCCACGACGTTTTGTATTCTTTGATTTCAGAGATTATCGTACATCAACGACTCCTTTGACTCGCGGTTAACGGCAGCTGACATCGTTTGGTTATGAAAATAAAATAAGAAAACAACTCGCGGCGCGTGTACTCGCGTACACATTAGAAAGTATGATGAGTAACGTGATCGTTCGAAAGATCTCCGAGAAGTCCGCGTTAAAAGAATCCCTGGTCTGACCATATCGGTCGAACAGGTGTGCCGGTACGATGCGGGAATAAACGATTAGAAGTTCGATTAGCATTCGCGGATCATATTAATTGCGATTGCATTACCAATGCCGCGTCCGCTCGGGCACGATTTTGTAATCGGCAGCGTATCGGCTGCGAGCATTACGTCTCGACGGCTTAATAAGAGAGCTAATTGCGCCTGGTATAAGTGTCTGCACGATTCAACATCGATTGCGGATCGTGAATTGAGCGAAGAAAAATCATTTCCTTGACTAACGGTCGATGTATCTTTCATCTGCCGTTAGGGAATTTGCATTGTATCGCGTTTCAATAGCATCTGATAGACTCTGCTGTATTGGCTATTGTTATATTCAAACTCGGGCTGAAATATTTCAATGAAATCGAAGAACTGTATTAACTATCGAGATAATCGCACACACAGGTATTAAAATGTGATTCATTTCACTTTTCTCCGGAGACCATTCATCGGCATCGGGAACGAGCAGATGCGGCCGATTTTCTCATGAGAATCACTGACAACTACGCGAAATGACACGAATATCGTGCCGCACGACGTTTCGTCGGCGGTTTTGCCCTGGTCCTGACGTGGTGATTCGCAGGAAGACACAAAAAGAAGGAATACGAGCTGGATCCGAAGGTGGCCGCGGGGCGAGCGGTCGCGGAAGGTCCGGCGCGGAGAAAGAGAAGAAAAATGGAGCGGGTGGTGGCGGCGGCGGTGGTTGTGGTGTTCGCAGTGGTTATGGTGTTGGTGGTGGTGGTGGTTGCGGTTGTGGTAGTGGTGGTGGTGGCGCTAGGCGATCGGAAGTGTGTCAAATTACAGAGGTCCGCGATATTAATGACTCCTAATGACATGCCCCCCTCCCGGCAGCAGCGGTCGGTGCCTGCCGACCGACACAGGGGGAACACGAACTCTCCCACTACGTCCTCCATCCGGACCCGCTCGCGAACCACCAAGGTTGGAGCCCCCGCGCTGCCCGCCGAGTGGAACAGTCGAGCCGGTGGACCCGATTCACGGAATCGGCATTAAAAATGCAATTACTAATTGACGGAGGCTAATAGCAATAAGACAAACAACGGTCTAAATGCTATAAAGTAAAACACAGGTCGGCAACGGCATACCCTACCACCTCACTCGGATCTCCCTATCGGAACCTCTCGTTCTCGCTCCACGACCCTCGCTTCTGTTTACCGATTGTTCCTTTATCCCTCCCTCATTCGACTTGCTCGCTCTTTTTATCGTAGATAGATACTTCTAGGGGGGTACCGTGGAGAAAGCAGGCCAGAGAGCAGCCCCCTGTTCACGACCGGTTCGGCATTTCCGAGAGCTCGGTTCAACCGCGGATTTTTTGTGAGCTAGGGCCTCTATCTTTGTTAGTTTTTGTCCGTTTATTTGCTGCTTCATTTTAATTCACGGATCTACTTGCACAGGTCGTAGTTGAGGTCTGTTGTGTCGACAGATTTTAATTTTGCAATAAAAGGATATATATAGACTAATGAGGGTAAAAAAAAGTTGGCTCTCATTATTCTATATCTTTTAACCCTTATAGTCCGGGTGGCATTTTAAATGACTTTTATAATCTTTGAACTAGAGCTTTCTCATAAAATTAAAAGATAGACCAGTAATAAAAAATGATGACACCCCCACCCCGCCACTGTAATGACTCCCTGAATCGCACGGTAACTATTTCTTCAAATTGATTATTTTTCTTATTTAATTGTACTTTACTTAACTCGTAGAGCTCATTCATATAGCTCATAAAGTACATTATAATATCAATGATATTAATAATTAATGTTAAGGACAGGAACATGATTTATTAATATTACCTTTAAGCATAATTTTAATAACGATGGAATAATATCAGTGATGACAGCACAGTCATTATACAATTTATCGTAGAATTGTGTTATGATTTACGCTAACAAAAGAATAAATAATAGAATTACACTATAATTTGAGCACCAAATGATTTCCTCTCGGTATTGCAGATGCAGCTAGTCGGCGGCATTTGTTACATTCTGTCATCTTCCTCATTATCGCGCTTTCTGCGAACGACGACACACGCTATGTCAGATCTCGTGACGCGTGACACCCCCGGGTATGCCCCATCGTTCTCGAAACGCACGTTCATGGAACTAACGATTCTCCTTATTAGCTTTATTATATAAAAGTTTGTTTTAGCAAACAGACGAAAGAGAATCTTTCGACCAGTGATATTTTAGACGATAATTGTATTCGTCGTTCTAATTAGAATCAAATAATTGCACGCGCATAATGTACGCACACTTCATTGTAAAAGTGTATAATTAAACACTAACGAGAGATTGGCTACTAAAATTTGAAAATAAGTCGTACATTTTTAATCAGAATCTTTGCATTTGATATTATGTATATAGATATAGCTTCTAAAAATTTCAGATATATTTAATGTGTAGATTTTTAATAAAATAAAAAACGAATTAATTTAACAGTTTTTACATTACTGAAATGATATAATAGCTCACTTTTCTCTCTCTCTCTCTCTCTCTCTCTCTCTCTCTCTCTGCGATATAATATATTTCGAGAAAATTAACCGGAAACTTAACGAATTATTATGTGTAAATTTTTGGCATCATGAAAACATACAGACAAATTATAGGATATATAACATGCCGAATTGGTTCTCTCGAACTTATATTTGCTAATAGTCACGCAGCTCTGACCGAAACTTTCCCACAACGCGTTGCAACGTTAGAAATCAGTAAGACTACTCTTTTTTGTAATATTTAGTGGGTGTCGCGTGAGCGGAGTTGCCATATGCAATTTTGGAGCTTCGCATTCGTCTGGACCGTTCCGCTCCGTAAAAACCGTAAAAAGGTCCGAGAAGGGATCGAATTTTTCAGAAAATCGCTGAGGAGACGGTCGTGGACGAGGGATTTCTCGGACCGTCGGTATTTCTTGGTGATCTTTTTACGATCCTGACGAAAAATCCTACTCGCGGCGAATACACACCGCTGGCAGATAATGTCCCGAAGTTAAAAGGCCAGTTATGCGCCACGAAAGAATTCCTCCAGGCAAATGACAAACCGCCACGAAGCCGGATAGGCGGTGCTTACCAAACGTAATTGGTTTTATGACATATTTTACGTGGAAAAAATTAGCTGAGGGCTCCGGGGAACTCTTCGCAGATGCAGAAACCTGAGATGCACCAATGATATGTGCTCTATGGTGAGAGCAGATCCGCTCTTATACAATGTCCAAAAATACTGTTCTCTTTTATATTCCCTTATATATTCTTTTATATTCTCTGTCTAATAATCCATTGTGTGCTGTTAATAATTATGCGCTGTACATGACCTATGATGACGTCTGCTATCATATGTCTGTACATTAGATTAAACTGAACAAAATGTCTACCATTTTGCAAATAACGATATAAATTTTTAGTTATTAATTAAAGAAGATTGATGATTATATGCGCGATAATGCAATAAACTTCTTTAATTTATAACTAAAAATCTACGTGGTTTCTAGAATCATTTTATTTGATTATTTTGTACTATTTGTATTACTAATACAATTATAAGTATTACGAGATTATTGGTAAACATTTACCAATCTTCTTTAATTAAAAACTCAAAATCTTGTGTGGTTGTTTATGAAATGGTAGAGGATGTTTAATTTCAACGAGTTCTACTTGCACACAATTTTGTGTTATGAATCGTCAAATACACTATACACTAAGTGTGTGTATGTGTATAAAAGAAAATGTCATCTTTTTATATCATTTTAGATATCAGCGCGATATTGCAATTAAATAATTATTACAATTTCCAACCGTTTTTTATAGATTAAAGATGTATAACAAACAAATTGAATTGTCAACACATATGAGCAAAATTTAATAAGAATTGAGAACTCAACTGACTTTGCCGGTCACGATAAATAGGATAAAGGAACGTTTAACGAGCAACTATACCGATCTATCATCGCGACGCGACACGGTGCCCGTTTCGTTCGAATCGTTTGTGCCGTATTATTTCTGCGCGAAATTTATGTTCCTGCGTAAACGAAGGTTAAACGCTCCGTACGTTAATTGTATCAAGAGACAGTGGACGAGCGATGAAATTCTGTGCGAACTCACCTTGTATGGATTCCGGCGAGGCTGGCTCCTTATCGATTCGGCCGAGTGCGTCGCTTGCTGCAACAAAAAGTGCAACGAGGCCCTCGTTAGTGACGCTGTGTTATAAGTTAAAATGGGAAAATTATTCGTTTCCCGTAAGGACGATGTACGCGATACCAATACTTCTTGTCTCGATCGAATTGGCAAACATTGAAGTTTTATCTCAATTACACATTAAAGTTACTTATATTTCTCCCTTTTGAGGATAACAGTGCGCATTGATGGAAAAATAACGAAGACGAGAACATTGATTTATACTTTGATTATTACGTCTACAAGGAATGACTTGAGAGAATTCTGATGATGCAATTATTGAACATGATTAAATTTAGACGTGATAAAATATTCTTTTATCACACCTATTCTCATTCTAATATGTAACTCTAAACTGATTATCAATTAAATTACGCAAACGTGAAATTCACTTTAGCTACACAAGGAAAAATATCATTTTATCTATTGATGAAAAGCAATAATACTTAATTTACTTTCCTTCTTTTGAGTAATGCTTATCTTCAACAAAACTCTTTGATAATAGTTTAAAATGTATTTATCACGAATTTTAAAAAAGCTCACTGTCACATACTCGGAAGAAGAATCTCTATTTCACTTTATAAGAATGTTATAAAACTTTATCGAAAAGAAAATTCAGTTTAATTCTATATAGTAGGCAAACTGAATTTTATTTTATTTTAATTTCATATTCTTCATTAAAATGCTAAATTCCGTAGAATTTAAAAGGTATTTTAAATAAATTTTAAATGCTTATAACGAACTTATAATAGATTTGCGGATATATAAACTAACATAAACCTTGAAACAAGTAACATTTACTTGAATGCATGCAATATACATTTTTCTGGGTGTAGAAGCATTGTCTTTCGCCGTTTTTCGACGCCTGACTGTTACAAAAGTCACGCGTTCCTTATTCGGCGAAAGTCCACATCTGTCCTGATTAAAACAGGGGAGAAGTAACCGGACTGAATGATCGAGATAGCATCGGAGAAGCACTGCGACGCGTTGCACTCATCAATCAGGCTGCGGGTCAAATTATCCTAAAACGCAGGCGATCATCGTGACACATGGAGATGACGTCGCGCGGCTCCAGCGATTGCAATTTCACCGGAAATAGGGCGACGCAACGAACGCGTTATCCCGCCGCGATCGATCGATATTCAAATAATCTATTCGACGGACCCTCTCAACGAGGATGAGGTCCTGGGGGTAGGGAAGATGGTGGTAATTCGGCGCGAAGATGACCACCATACGTCACACGACTAGAGAAGGACGAGTTCGAGGGTGTCCGGCAGACCCCAGGGGCGACCACCTACTACCCCCTGGGGGGTCGCAACTCACCCCTGAAACGACTGTATTCAGATAATCCCACCTTTCCTTTCCTTTCCTTTCCTACGTCGTATTTGCCCGGGACGACATTTCAATACATACTCTTGCCGGATAACCCGCCACAAATATAGGCGGATATACGTGTCCACTATGTGGAAAATAGCAGCGCGAGTAACGACCACGTAGCGCGTGGATAGCTCCCAAGTAAAAAGGATGATAAGGATTTCGAAGTCCTGACTTTTTCGCGCTTGTGCCACCGTACGTGTTGGGAGATTAGTATTTCCTTCGTATACGAATCTCTTTTCTGACTCGATATAAGCACTGTTAATAGTTCTTTCTTTCTTTTTTCAAAGTACACAATTGAATGATAACATGCTACAGCACACTATGACGTACGAGAAGACATGCTGTGATGTATAAATAATCTATCTATATGCTTCGCTGACGCAATTTACATATAATTTAAGATATCTAGGTCGCTGTAAAGTTGAACACAATGCGAGATCCTTGACGGGGCCGTTTTCATTATCGTATGAAGGACTGCTTCTGGAAACTAGTACGCGCTTACATTAAATATGAAGAGCGACCTCGCGCGAATATCCAGCTGCAGCTCGCTTGAGTTTTTCCTTGTACGCAAGTGTAATAACGCTCCGGGCAATCTTCCTTACATTTTTATAAAAAGATAATCACGAGGGTGCAATGAATAATTCATCGTATGGAGGAAAATAGGCAATCGATTTTTTGATCGATACTGGTAAACAACGAAGGCTTATTTAATTATCTTAACGCGTATTATGCATTCATGATAATTATACGTTCATATATATCGATTTACATCGTGTAAATTTCGTCGATGTGTCAAAACAGAAGATATAGACTTGTGGATGTTTTCAGAACAAATACTAACGTGTCAAAATGAGGCCTCTCTCGCCTCGGTCACCCTTACACCGACACGAAAGTCCCGCTAAATTCTCGTTTAATGGTGGACGTCAACGGCTACGACGATTTATCAAAATGAAATACTGGCTGTCGAAACAGCAGCTACCGCCTTTAAATAGGAATGAACGTGGATAAATACGATGCACCTTCGTCGTTCGGCGACTCTCCCGAGGGCCGTAAAGAAGTTACGGTTTGCACATGCATTCCTTACTTCGTTGCACGCCCTCTAGTTGCCTGCTTTCTCTTTTTCTTCTTCTTATTCTCTTTCGTACCGTGAAATGAAAACTACGTAATATTTATTTCTTAATATAACGCGCCACGCAATTCTCCGTGATGATGCATAATTTGCGATACATTAATTGCCTAATATGTAATTAAATAATTGCAAGAATACGTAATTTCAAATACGTAAAGATGTAGAAAAAAAATCAACGAAGCACATTAGCAATAATGAAAAGAGTCTATTATAACTGAGTAAGAGTGTATATTCTTTTGCGTCTTCTGATTTAATATACTTTAACGTTAGTCAACACATTGTTCCATTTCAGCTACGTAATTGTAAATTTCTCGTTAACTTCGCTCGTTATCTCTCTCGCATACATCACTCGAGATTCTGCAGAATAGAAATACAAAAAATGCTCTTCTGTCTTTCTCTGAGTCTAACCGATTCCTCCCGGCGATCGATGCCGCTCCACGCGACCCACCGCGACGCCGGCCGAGATTTCCGCGGCCGGGCATTAATTCTGGAGTACGTCACGGCGTTGTCGGCGCTCGCTTTTTCACTTATTAATTCGACACGTCCGCCAGCCTGGAATCGCGTGTCTGCGGCTACCGCCCGGGATATTCTCTGCACCTCGGTATTCATAAAGGGCAGGCGGCCGTATATACCTTGTCGTATCTTGTCGTACAAGCGCGCTGCTTTTCGTGCGCGCACACGCATCCCGAGCCCATTCAGCGCAACGTATGTACATGTGACACCTGTGCCGATAACTTGAATACCGCGGACAGGTGCCCGGCCCGTCGGCCACTCGATGCGCGGCCACGAAGACGGAAGCGTGTCGAGTCCGCTATTATCTTGTGATTACGATCTCGTTTCGCCAAGAGCCGATTATCGACCGGCCGGATCGACGTTTTTCCTTACGTTCGACGTGACGAGTTAGACCCAGCGCGCACATTGCAGACGATAAGCGATAACCCGTAAATTGTATGAGAGGTGAGTAAACTCTCCCATACCAAAGAGAGAGAGAGAGAGAGAGAGAGGGGGAAAGAAGAGGAAATATACAAACATGTGTACTAAATAAAACTAAATCTGACAAATATTATTTTTGTTTAAATCGTTTCGAGATGTACAAATCATTGAACTCTAAATTCCCCAAGTTGAGTGAAAACTATTTAGTTTTCTTTTTCATGATGCAGAGATCCTTCCAAATTCTGATTACTTCAACCATAAAATGAGGATCTCCAAGTACGAAATTACAACTTAAACTTTCTATTTATAAGACAACAGGAAGTCGTGCATTTTAAGATGCGATTAATGCGTTGTTGTGCCAGTAAGATAACAAGATACAATCCAATGATATAGTCCCGCGGGATATCGTCCGAATGGTTCGATTAATTCATAAAACTCGATCAATCCGGCGTGTTGCCGTATACGTGCTGTGGACGGAAACGAGATTTTAATATTTAAGTCCGCGGCACGATACAATAAGTATAATAAGCATAGAAGCGGCCGTCGGTCGGCGGTTGTAAGAGACGGTTGCAATATTAATGCTGACATTTCGGTGCTTTGCGGTAGTTTAACCGCACTACGGCCCCTCGCTTTAATGGATGCGGCTTTCCGACAGGGACGCTGCACGGCTATGCCAATCTCGTCACATGTATACGTAGAGATACGTATTGTAACTAATCGATTTTGTAAAATGAAAGAGAATGAACAAGGAATTGTGTTCTCTCTTTTCGAAATTTATTCCTGCGAAAGAAAGAGAATATCTATGAAAACTCACACAACTAATAATTTCTAATTTGAATACAATCAGCGAAATTGCGCGAGTATATATATATATATATATATATATATATATATATATATATATATATATATATATATATATTTCTGGAAATTTTTAACTAAGCAACTGGCGTGGTTGGTAATGAATTATTCATCAGAGTTTCAAAGTTTTCACGATGCAACGTCCGCGTACAATTATTCATGCCCAGACAGTGACGGTATACCCGCTTGCCTCGAGGTAAGCCAAGTTTTTGAATTGACAGCACGTAAGTACATGATATCTGTACCATATAACGCAGGAATAATTCATAGCGGCTTATTAATTCTGAGTAAAGTCACGGTCGCGACGCGTCGTATAATCGAGTGCATAATCTCGACCGTTGAAGAGGCGCCGAACGATCGCGTCTTCTTCTCGACGTCTTACGTTCAATCCGCTCATTCGACTGACCCGATCGTGCAAATTAATGCAACGTGGTGTAGTGCCCCTCGCCAGCCGCATCGTCACACTGTGACACGCACGAAGTAACGAGAAGATATCGCGAGGAATGATCTGCGTGGCGAATAGAATGCCACATTGTTCGCGCGATTCGATTCTTCGCGGCGCGACGCGATCCTATGACGATCCGGTCGCGCGATACTTGATTTTTTCCATTTTTTCCTCGCCCGATCAGCTTGGTCCCACCTTCACTCCACCGCGTACCACCATGAATACGAGATGCGGCACCTG